GTGTCGTGGCTTTTGAGTTGCTGTGATTCTGTGAACTTCATGGTAGTGGTTTGTTTATTATTTTTTAAAATGTATTTATGGCAATACTTTTTTCGTTTTTGCTTTGTTTTCAGAGAGTGGGTTGTTAAATATTTGCCAGTGCACCCTGGGTGGGATTGTGTGCCCCACATTCAAAGACCAGTGGTAGGGAGGAGGACACAGACAAGCTCCCAGAAGTCCCGGGATGAGAACCAGAATCCATGCAGGGACTTTTCCAGGGAAATGGGTTTGAGCAGAAAATAAAGAAGGACTAGGCTGGCCAAGGCTGGAACAGGCTATGCACTGAGAGAATGAGCTCCCCATCACAGAAGGTATGTTAGCAGAGGCTAGATGGATGGCTACATGAACTGAAGCCAGAAGTGCAAGGGCCAGTGCTGGATTAAGATGGCCTTAGGACACCTGTGCACACACCCAGAGGCCTCAGTGGGTCTGTGATTTAGTGATTTGCAAAGTCACTTGGACCTAGGGCTGACTGAATAACCAATCAGCGATGCATCCCATGATGGAGGGCTGCTCAGTGGTAAAAAGGGGTGGACCAGGAGACCCGCAGCAATGGGGAAGAGCTTCAGAAAAATGCTGAGCTCAAGAAACTCTGCCAAGAGGCCATAACCTTTGTGAACCCATCTATGGGGAATTCTAGAAAATGCAAACTAGTCTCTAGTGACAGAAAGCAGAGGTTACAGGGTGGGCTAGAGGGGAGGTAGGTAAGGTGGGCAGAGGGAGAGGTGTACTGCATGGGGGCAGCGAAAATTACCCATGATTTTGGAGACGGTTGTGATGGGTTTCATGTTGCTGCTGTTAAGTGCCATCAAGTCAGTTCTGACTCATAGCAACCCTGTATAAGGTTTCTGAGGAGTGGCTGGTGAACTTAAACTGCCAACCTTACAGTTCAAACCAATCTTTCAGTCCAGTGCCACTCCAGGACTGTCAAAACGAAAGGAATTGTCCACTTTAAAGGTATGCAATTCACTGTGTGTACATTGTTCCTCAATACAAATACTTTTTTAGAAAGGAAACAGAAACAAAGAGTGGACCAAAGGCCAGGGCAGCTGTGTCATTGGCTCACTGGGTAATGACTCATCCTCTCTGGGCCTCTGAACTTCCCCATCTCTGAAATGAGGGTATTGGACACTTCCAGTGTCATGGCTACAAGTGCATCATCCTTGGTAAGTTAGTGAGCCCCTCTGTGTATTGGTTTTGTCATCTGTAAGGTGGGGTGTCATGGGATGAATTGTGTTCTCCCAAAGTATATGTCAGCCTTGCTGGGCCATGATTCTCCGTGGCTTGATAGTTAGACAATGATGTAACTTGGCAGTACCAATCTGATTTCATCAACTGGAAGAGTTGGGTGGGATACAACACCCTTACTCAGGTCTCAGCCCTCATCTGGCGTTAGGTGGATTTCCTGGGATGTGGCCCACATCATCTTTGATCTTGTTGTTATTAAGTACCATGGAGCCAGTTCCAACTCACAGGGGCCCTGCGCAGGGTTTCCAAGGCTGCAAATCTTTACGGGAGCAGAACGCCTCATCTTTCTTCCATGGAACCGCTGGTAGTTTCGAACTGCTGACCTTGAGGTTGGCAGCCCGACTCGTAACCACTACGCTACCAGAGCTCCTTATCTTTGATCTTACAAGAGATGAAAGGAGGGAGACAGAGCAGAGGAGGGACCTACTTCCACCAAGAAAGAAGAGCTGGGAGCAGAACTCATCCTTTGGATTCAGAGTCCCTTTTGCTGAGAACCCCCTAGACCCAGGGAAGATTGATGCCAAGACACGTGAAGTTTTCCAAGGAACAGCAGGACCTTAGATGTTAAAAAGCAACAAGGACCTTTCCCCAGAACCTACACAGAGTCCTGGTGTGGCAGTGTGGGTTAATACACTGGACTGTGAGGTCGGTTTGAACCAAAAGGTTGGGGGTTGAAGCTCACCAGCCACTCCTTGGAAATCTTATTCCGGGTTTAGTATGGGTCAGATCCTACTTGATGGCATTTAACAACAACAACAACACAGAGAACCTTCTCCCAGACCTGACGCCCTGCTTCCAGACTCTTAGCCTTCTAATCTGTGAGAGAACCCATTTCTGTTTGGTAACACCACCCACTTGTGATGTTTCTGTCAGTACTACAGCCCTAAGACACAGGGAACAGTAGCAACTGCCTCACAGTGTCCTTGTGAGGATGCAATGAGCTAATGCCAGTCAAGGGCTCAGAGCAGTGGTGGACAGGGCAGAATATGCAGGATTGGTAGAGTGTGGTGTCCACCTGGCCACAGTCTCCAAGCTGTCTGTTCCCTGACCTCACTTCCTTCCAGTTCCTGCTGTCCACACAGCCACATTCTGAGGGAGGGGTTTCAGGGTATCTGGGTCATTCCCAGGGCACCTTTCCATTCAGCTGTGTTTCGTATGCACCTTAGTACCAAACCCAAAGCTAGGTATTCCAGTAGTGCATGATGGGTATATGTAGAATGTAGGAGGAAGTCAGATGGTGCTGAATCCTGAGGAAGATTTTGCTTGGAGAAGTGGCTTTCTTGGGATGGAGAGTGTGTGAACTTTTAGGGCCTCCAAGGCCATATGTGATTGAACAGGCTGTTTCCTGCATAAGGAAGCTCTGCCCCAGGGGAAAAACTCGGGATAAATCTCAGTCTCTGATGCTTTCAAGTCATGTGGTCACACCCATGGGTGGTGTCTTTGCAGAGAGGTTGTTGTTGTTATTATGTGCCCTGGAGTCCGTTCCGATCCACAGTGACCCTGTACAGGGTTTCTGAGGCTGTAAATCTTTATGGGAGCAGAAAACCTCATCTTTCTCCCATGGAACAGCTGGTAGTTTCAAACTGCTGACCTTGATGTTAGCAGCCTGATTTGTAACCACTACGCTACCAGAGCTCCTTTTGCAGAGAGGTACACTCTTTTAAAAACTATTATTTTGGAATTATTTTAGAATTACCAGTATATACTGTCTCCATCTATCCTTCATCCATGTTTTTCCTTTTGTTAACATTGTATATAACCATGGTATGCTTGTCAAAACTAAGAAATTGGTAAGAGATACTGTTTACTAAACTTCTAATTTTTTAGATTTCTCTCCTTTTCTCAGTACATAATGTCCCATTTCTGTTCCAGAGTCCAATCCAGGATCCCAGCTTGCGTTCAGTACGAGCAGGGGGTGGTGGTGGGGTGGTGGTGGTGGAGAATGTTGATATAGAGGGGTACCCAAAGGAAAGTCCTCAGATGCCACATGAGAGAGGAACACCAGGGTGGGATGTGGGGGCACCTGGCCTTCCTCACCCCAGGCCGGAGACCATGAAATGTTTTCTCATCTCAGTTTGTACAAAGCACAGAAGGAAAGGGATCAACATTTGTTGGTCTAACACTGGCCAAGTGTTAGAGCAGGCAGGCCCTTGGGGAAGTAGCATTTCCTGTTCTACATAAGCCATGTTGTGAACCCTGTAACCCTGGGAAGGTTTGGCTCACTGTCATTCTGTTGGCAGAGCTGGAAAGGTGAAGCTCTCAGATGGAAATGGTCTCTCTGACACCGGCCCTCTATCCGGGAGGCCAGGTGAGTATCCAAGAGCCTGTATACAAGTAGGGGACTGTGGGAACCCCAGCTCTCCCCATCTCCTGACCAGCCACTTTCTCAGCTTCTCTGGAGTGACCAGTCCAGGGGAGGGGACCTGTGGCTCTGAAATTCTGTTCAGTCCTTTCCTGTCCTTCTCCTGGAGTGGGACAGTGCCAGGGGTGGAGAAAGATGCCAGATGCTAGTGACAGCAGGTGAATTGGGAGCCAACTGGGAAAATCCAGTGTTGCTCATTGGCTCCTCAGAGACCCTCCCCAGAGCCACAGACTCAGGCTTTGTTCCCACAAAGAACTTGGAGTCACCTGGCCTTGGATTTGAGTTCAGGCTGGGAGGTTTTGGTGAATTGCCAGAATTTCTGGAACCCTCAGTTTCTGCATCTGTAAAATGGGACCGAGGCACCTGGCTCCCCAGTATCCTGGTTTCCTGGCTGTGAGGCTGAGAGTAGCAATTGCAGCCTCCCAGGACAGGGTCTGGCTGTGGAGGGCCTGCTTCGGCACTGTCCTTGGAGTTCCCCTTCTTGTCAAGGGTCTCTGGCAGTCGGCCTCTCTCCCCTTGCTGCCGGCATCACCGCCTCCTTCTACACTCAGGCCTTCCCATACAGGTCCCTGCTTTGGGGCTAGTGAGCTCTGTGCTTCCTCTTTCTAACACCCCCTACAGCTCTACAGCTCTGTCTGCTGTGCCGCTGAGACCCCTCTCTGCAGATCCTCTGTGGTCCTATCACCTTCTGTCACTTTACAGATACCCACGAGGAGGTCTTGTCTTAAAAAATTGAACTCTAGGGTTCACTATGCCTCTTACATCCCAGAGTCACTGGGTACTATGCCTGACACACAGAAGGTGCTCAGTAAATACTTATTGTTCAGAATCAAAACGGATTGAGTTCTTGTAGAGACCTCTCTTGCCCTGTCCAATGGCAGGAAGTACATCTCCCAGCTGTGAGTCTTGTGTCGCCACTGCCACTGATACCCAGTGCAGGGGTGCCGTGGGGTCCTGGGCCCAACCCAGCACCTCAGAGGTCTGAGCTGTTCTGCTAGACCGCATGCTCCGCCTTCTGAAACGGTCGTAGGGGAGCAGATTGGGTAAGTTCCCCTTCCGCTTCCTCTGCTCCAGTCCGGAGCTGCCATCCTCGGCCAGTGCCTTGCAGGCTCTCCACATCCCTGGTGCCCGCAGAGACACTCCGAGTCCTGAGTTGTCACTGCCGCCGCCCCCCAGGCCTCTGACGCCATGCAAGCCATCAAGTGTGTGGTGGTAGGAGACGGGTAGGTACCTGGCAGAGCTTCCTCACTGTCCCCATCGGGATGTCCTGGAAACCCCTGCCTGAAGGTGTAGGAGTCCCTGGGAGGCAAGCTGGGAGGAGCTCCTTCCTTCTCCTCCAGGACCCAGAAGGGGCATCCTGGGGTGGGCTGCAAACAGCTTTGTGCTTTGACCCTTCTAATCCCGGAAGCTGTCTGAGTAGAGGGTACAGGACTGTGGGTGGGAGGTTCTGATCGGCTGTCCTGTACCCTAAGTGCTGGTGGCAGATTTTCCTTGGGGGTGAGGCTCAGTCTTCAACTCCGTGGCTGACAGTAGGGGTGGGAAACCAAAATTTAGGCCTCCAATTCTTGGCTTGGCCCTGCTGTGTGACTTTGGGCAAGTCCTAGCGCCACTCTGAACCTCAGCTTAGCCACTGGAAAGAAGCAGTAGTCCAAGCCACCAACACGGATAGGGACTCTCTTGAGATACTTTGAATAGTGTTGAATAGTGTTTTTGAATCTGCTCAAAAATGTTGGCCCTGAGCCTTCCCGCTCCACCTCCTCCCACCTCCCGCTCTCGGTGAGGTTGCCTGGTTGGGGAGGATGTGTGGGGTATGTGGTGAGGCCCAAAGGGGGAGGGGAACATTGTACCCTGAGAGACAGAATCAGAGAAGAGGATGACTGAGTAAGATGACAGGTGTCCACTCTCAGTGACCTCAGGCTGTCGTGCCCTTCCCTCTGGGCTTCAGTTTCCACATCTGTAAACCCAGTAGACCCACCTCTCTCAGTCTGAGGTTTTCCCATCTGGCGTATTCTAATTGGGCAAGTCCCTCTCATCCAACTCTCCCATCCTACAGAGGGACAACTCAAGGTTTTGAGAGACATGGCTCTTTCTCGGCCTAGGGTCCTGGTGGCACCTTTAGCTGATTCTACTGCCCGGCCACGATCACTTCTGCTTTGTATCTGCTCTGAGAATGGTGGGCAGAAATGAAGGTCGACTTCCCAGTCCCTCCGAGTTACCTTAGAGGCAGGGCTCAGGAAGGCAGTGTGGGGAGAGGGCACACAGCCTCCTCAGAACAGGAAGTGACGGTGTTGAGTGGGAAAGGCCCAGGGCTGGCCCTTTGGCCTCTCGGGCTTCCCCCAGTACTGTCTGGGCCCCTCTTCCAGCAGCCCAAGGGTGCACAGAGCATGAATACTGGCTATCATCAGTTAATTAGCATTTGCAGTATGTGTGTGTGCTAGGCATTGAGCTCCGCATGCCTCCTTTATTTTATCCTCCAGCTACCCTGTACAGGAAGGAGCTCTGGTAGCGTAGTGGTTACGAATCGGGCTGCTAACCTCAAGGTCGGCAGTTTGAAACTACCAGCTGTTCTGTGAGAGAAAGATGAGGCTTTCTGCTCCCGTAAAGATTTATAGCCTCGGAAATCCTGTGTAGGGTCGCTATGAGTCGGAACCAACTCCACGGTTCTTAACAACAACCCTGTACAGGGGAGTCTTGGCATGGTGCCACAGGAGAAGTACTCAACCTCAAGGTCAGTTTGAACCACAAGGTTGAAGGTTCAAACTCACCAGTCACTCCTTAGAAACCCGATACAGGGTTGATATGAGTCAGAACCGACTTGACAGCACTTAACAACAAGAACCCCTAATATTGGAGTCCTGGTGCCCTAGGATAAGCACTCGACCTCAAGGTTGGTTTGAAGAGCAAGGTCAGCAGTTCAAACTCACCAGCCGCTCTTCGGAAACCCTATTCAGGGTCACTATAAGTCAGAACCGACTCGACAGCACTTAATAACAACAACCCCTAATATTGGTCGGTGGTTCAAACCCACCTGCCGCTTCTTGGACACCTAACTGTTCCATAGTATAATAAATTATCTTATGTTGTGAAGTGCCGTCGAGTCGAATCTGACCCATAGCAACCCTGTATAGGATTTCTGAGGAGCAGCTGGTGAGCTTGAATTGCCGACCCTGCAGTTCAAACGGCTTTGCAGTCTGGAACATTAACCCACAGTAGCAAATTCTCTTATATGCATCATTTATTGAATTCCCACCATTGCTTCCTAGATGGGGAAACTAAGGCAGCAGGGTAAGTGACTTGCCCAAGGCCATGTCACTGGGAGATATTGACGTGGAATCTAGACCCCAGGACTGTGGCGATGTCCACTGGATGTCCACTGATCAATACCACCTGAGAAAGTTGGTGAAAAACGCAGGTTCTCCTCCTGCCCCACACCTAGGGGTCAGATCTCTGGGGTAGGGTCTCAGCCTGCACTTCAACAAACATTCCTGATGACTTTTATGGGCTCCCAAACATGACCAGGGGAATTTCAGAGGGGAAGACTGGACAGGGCTTGCTCCCCATCCCCAGGGTTGGGCTGGGCTGACACAGAGGTCTTCTCTGAGGGATGGGGTGGGGGGACCAGGAGGTGCTCACAAACCTCCACAAGTCTCGGGCAGGACCCATGACTGTTGTTTCTGCATTTCCTGTCTTTCAGAGCCGTTGGCAAGACCTGCCTCCTCATCAGCTATACAACCAATGCCTTCCCGGGAGAGTACATCCCCACCGTGTGAGTGTGGGGTGCAGGCAGGGTGGGGGTGTCATCCAGGAGGGGCTCAGTGTGGAAGCACATGGGTGACCCATTTCTAGGTAGTCCATCCTGGCACTTAGGGGTGGGAGCATTCTGTGATGCCCAGGCTTGAGCTGGGGTCACTGTGGGCTCCAAGAGAAAACACCCAGGAGAGACGTCTGGGTAGGGTGAAGGGGAGGAACAGCTTCAGAGAGCACAGACCTGGGAGGACAGGCTGGCCTGAGCAAGGGAGGCAGAGGGAAGCAGGTCTGTGTTGGAGAAATGTAGGGAGGGGTGGAGAGAAGGAGGAGGTAAACCAAGAGAGCTTTGAAACCAAATAGAGACTCCAGGGGATGGATGGAGGAGTCAGACTTGGGCCAGGGGCGGAGGGACACATTGGGAAGCACCAGACTCTCCCACAAACCTCAGTGGTCCCTATCACACTCAGGACAGCTTCCCAACTCCGTAAGTGGCATTCAGAGCCCCTTCTGACTTGCCCTGATTTTCCTTTCTAGCTTCTTTAGTTGGATTCACCTTCTGTCTGCTTTTGTGCCTCCTGTTCACCAAACCCTCCTTGGGCATTTCCACCTCCGGGCTTTTTCTCAGCTTGTTCACTCTACATGGAGTGTTTTGCTTCTCTTGTCAACATGACAAACACCTGCAGTCCCATCTCAACTGTCCCCTCCTCCAGGAAGCCGTTCTTATGTAGCCCAAAGGGGCCTCTTACTTCCCAGAATTCTTTGGATTTGATCTGATCTCTCCCGTAACTAGAGTTGATTGCCCACAACTCCTGGTGTGGCACTGTAAGACAAGCACTGGACTGTTAACTACAAGGTTGGCAGTTCAAACCCACCCACTCCTCGGAAACCCTATGCAGGGTTACTATGAGTCAGAACTGACTTGATGGGCCTTTAACAACAACAACATTGTCCCAACTTGGTCCCCAAATAGCCTTTAAGAATCTACAAAACAGGGATGAGGGTCTCTGTCCATTTATCACCCATCCTCAAATGCTGACTGGTACCACCTAGCACTTGCCTGTCAGAAGCCAACAGGAGCTCTGGTAGCATAAAGGTTATGAGTCAGACTGCTAACCTCAAGGTCAGCAGGTTGAAACTACCAGCTGTTCCGTGAGTGAAAGATGAGGTTTTCTGCTCTTGTAAAAATTTACAGCCTCAGAAACACTGTACAGGGTCGTTATGAGTTGAAACGACTCCACGGCACACCACCACCACCACCAGCTCCCACCCTGACAGGCAAAAGGCCACTGTCCCCAGGGAGCCATGTCTTCACTCCTGTGCTCCTGGTTTCCAGGTGCTGGCTGGAGGCCCCACTTGTTGGAGCACCCTGGACCAATCACTTCCTCTCTCTGAGCCTCAGTGTCCCTGTCTGTGAGAGGAGGGGCAGGGTTGTCATTCTCCAGGTGTCCACTTGTGGGGAGTGGAGTGGCTGCTGTCTCTGGCTGAAGCTAGTGGTCTACTGTGTCCACTGAGACCAGGCTAGGGGCTGGTGCTCCTCCTTCTTGGAGGCCCCAGCCTCCGGTAGCCAGATTGGACTGACCAAGGGTCCCAGACAACGCTGGAAACTGACAGATGGACCTAATGAGATCTATACCTCCTGTCCCCCCAGGTGGAAGATCAGCCCGGGGCCACCTTCACTGTTACATCAGAGGGAGCACAAGACCCCCACTCTGAAGGGTCCCATGCTGGGTGGGGTGCTCTGCCGTCTCCACCTGCACATTCCTAATGATTTTGAACAGAGGCCTGTGCATCTGCATTTTCACTGGGCTGGGTCCAGTTTTGCCTTCCAGTCCAGAGTTGTCAGCCCTGGACAAGTCCCCAGAGGGCCTCCTGCTCCTGCCCACATCTGTGCCCCTATGACAAGGAAGATCAATAAGTCACACTGAGCCCTTAACATGGGGGGTGGGGCTGGAGGGGTGGGAACCAGGTGAGAGGGGTATGGGAAAAGCAGGCATCCCAAGCTCTCCAGTGCCTGGTGGGGAGGCTGGGGTTTGCTGGGGTGGGGCGGGGGAGGCACTTGCTGCAGGCTGACATCAGATAAGCTAAGAGAGACAAGCAGGGCTAGCTGCCAGCATTTGGGCCTGACCCTGTGCGGCTCAGAGAGGGAGGCAGACAATTCCACCAATCAG